GTACCCCGAAGCGACATATGATGGATTTTCATAGGAAGTCGATCATCTTCTGTTCGGTGATGGTGGCGAGTGGCTCGGCTTCTGCCCATTTTGTGAAGTAGTCGACAGCAACAACGGCGTACTTCAGTCTGCCCTTTCCGGTGGGCAGGGGGCCGATTAAGTCGATCCCCCATTTGGCGAACGGCCACGGGCTACGGATCGATTTCAAAGGTTGAGAAGGTTGGATGATGTTAGGCGCGAAAGTTTGACATTTTGCGCATCTCCGAGCCATCCCCAAGGCGTCTTTCTTTAGACTGGGCCAGTAATAGCCTTGGCTAAGAACTTTATGGGCGAGGGCGTATCCTCCGGAGTGGTTTCCGCATACGCCTTCATGAATCTCTTTGAGTATGTACTCGGCGCTTTTCTCGTCAACACATTTGAGCAGGGGCGCCGAGTATCCCCGCTTGAACAGTTCACCGACCACAATCGTATATCGAGCTGCCCGCGTGTAGAGCTGTCTGGCCTCTTTTAGGTCATGCGGCAGTACACCGGTCTCGAGATATGACCGGATCGGGACCATCCAGCTCGGGTCTCGGTCTACGGTTGCCTGCTCGGCTCTCAGGACGGAAAGGCCGAGCACGATGGTTGCCCCTTGTGGCTTACCTGAATATACTCGACACTTTCCACCCCGGCACTTGGGGCGAGATGGGCCAGGGCGTCGGCCTATACGTTTTCTGTCCTGGGGATGTGCTCTATCCGAGTTCGAAACTTGGTTAATCTCTTCTTCACTAGCCCCAGGTAGGGGACCAGCCTCGGTTCTTTTACCTCGAAGTCCCCAGAGATTTGCTTGGCCATCAACATCGAGTCGGAATATATGGTGAGGTCGGTTAGGCTCATAGCTTCTGCCAGGGCGAGCCCGGATAGCAATGATTCATACTCGGCTTCGTTGTTAGTCGCTGGAAAGAGATACTGGAGTGAGTGGCAAAAGAGTTTTTTATTGGGATCTACGAGGACGACCCCTCCGCCTGCTCGTCCGACAGTGGAGGATCCGTCCACGTACATCACCCATGACTCTTCGTTCCTCGCCTCCTCGAGTCCCGGCGTGAATTCAGCTAAGAAGTCCAAGAGTACCTGCCCCTTCATTGTTGTTCGGCGTCACTAATGGATATCGTACTGCCCCAGCTCCACCGCCAATTTCACCATTCGACCAGATGTGTCAGGTCGGTGCAGGATCTGTCTAAGTGGGTAGGCTGTGAGGACGGTGATCGAATATTCTAGGAAGTACGATCTTAGCTTTCGGGCCGTGGTCACTAAGGTGAAAGCAAGTTTTTCCATGGACGGGTACCGCAGCTCGGCATCGTGAAGCGCCTTGGTCACGTAGTAGGCCGGGTATTGGCATGAGTCTTCTTCCCGAATCAGGGCGGCACTTACAGCCACGTCGGATATCCCCAGGTACAAATAGAGTATCTCGCCTAGGCGGGGTTTTTGCATCGTTGGGGCCCGGCCGAGGGTCTACTTGATAGCCTTTAATGCTCTTTGACAGTCAGAAGTCCATTCGAACTTGTGGTTTTTCTTGATTGCATTGAAAAAAGGCTTGCAACGATCCATCGATTTGGAGATGAATCAGCTCAGGGCGGCGAGTTTGCCAGTTAGGCTCTGAACTCCCTTGATCGAAGTCGGCGATCGAAGATCTTGAACTGCTTTGATCTTCTCGAGATTTGCGTCAATGCCGCGCTGGCTAACGATATACCGCAGGAATTTTCCCGAACCAACGCCGAAAGTACACTTTTTTGGGTTTAACTTCATCGAGTAATCACGCAAAATAGAAAACATTTTATTAAGATTATTAACGTGATCTGACGCATACACGGATTTGACTAACATATCGTCCACATACACCTCCATACACACACCTATCAAACTAAAGAAACATCTTGTTAACTAGACGCTGGTAGGTGGCCCCGACATTCTTCAGTCCAAATGGCATCATTGTATAGCAGTATAGCCCGCCTGCCGAGTAGAAAGAAGTATGTTCTTCATCATCTGGATGCATGGGAATTTGATTATAACCGGAGTATGCGTCCATGAAACTCATCAGCTCGTGCCCCGAGGTGGCATCGACCATATAGTTGATGTGGGGAAGAGGGTAGCTGTCTTTGGGGAATGCCTTGTTTAGGTCGAAGAAATCGATGCATAGACGCCATCCCCCGCTGCTTTCCTTTACGAGTACTGGGTTGGCAACCCAGGTCGGGTACCAGACTTCACGAATGTATTCGTTGTCTTTGAGCTTGATTACCCCTTCCTCTAGCGCCAAACTGTTGATGGACGGATCCGATCAACGGTTAAAATACGATATTATGAAAGTGCGAAACGGAAAGATGGAGAGAAAATATTGAATAATCACAGTTTATTATATAATCAAGAGGTCAGCCTCTCGTACGAGGTCAGTACCTTTCTTACAGTTGCAGATAATAGTTGCGAGTATTACAAATGTCTAGAGAGAGAAAGTAGAGAGGGAGTCTGTTAGTTGAGGATTCAACAACCCAAAATAAATGAGGGCTACTTCTATTTATAGTGTTCTTTACTGCGTCACTGTTGCTCCACTGTTCGAGTTGTCTTGTCGCACAGTGAGCCCGAAAGACAGGCCGGCGTCCTTCTGACTGATTGTGAGTAATTTGTGGATCTTCTAATGATTACCTGCAGAGCATTTAATGCTAGCATAGGCAGCATTTAATGTTGGCAAGACCTCTAGCCGGACTAGGTACCCTAGGCTGTCAGGGGCATGGTGGTGCGTCCCATCCGTAATCATTGTCCAAGAAGTGACAATATTTTATTATTACCGAGCCCCGCGCCTTTCCACGGGGTAGCCGTCCTTGATCCCAGATCGGTTCCCGAGCTCATCACCCGCCTCCAGCCTTCAGGATTCATACTTCAGACCGTCACTTGTTCGAGGTCGGCGTCGGCGCCTCGACGATAGAAGTGCCGCCCTCGAAAACGAAATCACCCGGGTTCGACACCCATCCTTTAGTAGGACTTAGCTCGGTACTTCAACGTCTGGACCGGATCGAGGGATTGGATTTCGGTGGGGTCACACCCGGTTTCCTTTTGGGGCGAACTCGGATGTCAACAAACCTTTTGAACTGGTCTAAAATCGGTTGAACCAGTGAACTGGGACCGATTTGAATGGTTAATCGGTTCTATCTTTTGAATTTGAAATTCTTTGATTGTGAAGTGATTTAAATATCACACCTTTTTTTACTTGTATTTCCAATGTCAGATATGTTCCCTTGTTGAAATTATTGGGTCAATGTTGGGCCTTACAAGCACAATTGTACTAATTAAAATGTACTAAATTTTAAATTGGACTATCTATTGGGCTACATCTAGTCTCAATTAATAAAAAATTAAAAAAAAAAGAAGCAATTTATTGTAAATTGTTATGCACATATGTTTAAAAGAAATTACCTAGTGCACTACACATTAGCATTTCTATTACATGCCATATATATTTATTTGCAAATTAACTAAATGTATCATTTTTTTTATTTTTTTGCAAACATACTAGATATTAAGTATTTGATAATTATATGTTAATTATGGTTACAACTGTTTTAAAGGGAAGTTAATATTATATGACCAAAAACTGAATCCTAATATCAAGGAAACAATTCTCAGCCATACTTATGAGGGAGGCGTGACTGAACGTGGACAGAGAAGACGTCCGTGAAATGGAATTCGTTCAAGGTGACGCCGAAGAACGACAACGTAGCGGATCCGACTTACCGGGGACAGCGGTGAATGGCTTCCTCGCCGGGCGCCGACGAAAATGATAGCTTCTTTTGTGCGTCCTCCTCGAAGTCCGAGGCAATAACAAATTGATTGTTAGAAAAATGTCATCAGAGTTGGTCAGAGATGCGGTGACTTCTTTTTTCGATCCCTACGTTCTTTTTTTCGATCCCTATGGTCAGAGTTGGTTAGTGGTTGCGCGTCCCTCCCCTCCTCCTTCCCAGCGGAGGATCAAGTTGGAGATGATGAAGGCGAGCTGAACTACGACTAAGGCATGGTTCGGAGCAGCACCCTCGTTCTCATCAATCTGTTGGGACATTTAAAACTAATAAACTATTTTTTTAACGGTTAGTAATTTGTTTGCTTAAGGACGAACAAAAAACTGAGTGGATGAGTTTTTTTGTACGTTTTTATTCTATTTTTTATATTTTTATCGTGACTAGTCGAGTCGACTTTCACTCTTATTTGTGTCACATCTTGATGATATAAATAAATTCCATTG